TCATTTACAACGATTCTTCCTGCGGCGTGTTACTGTTTTTAAACAGTTTTACGGTATAAAGCCTATTTTTTCAAAATTTTTCCCTGGCCTCGTTTTTCTTGGTGTTCAATTATTTTCACAAAAAATGTTCGCCTGCGGCGCGTTTTCACACGAATTTGAGTGTAGCGAACGCGTTTTGCGTTTTTGCCTTGCGCGCTACGCGCGTTTTCGGATGTTTAAAAGTGGCGACCGGGGGAGGTCGCCAAAATTTTGGGCCCCGAAATTTCGGTTCCGCTCGGGCCTGGCTGCAAGTAATCACAGCTGGCTTCCTGTATAGAGACGCATTTATTTGAAAATTAAAAATTTTTAAATTTAGCGGTGTTTAATTCTCGTGGAAAATTAGAAATTTTTCGTTGCACTTCCACTTCCTACATGCAAAACTTTATTATCGTCAAAACCCTACCCTTCCGGAAACTAGGGTCTCGACTAACTCCCGGAAGTCCCATCCCCGAGCTCCCCGCCCCCGTTCCAACTCACTTTTGAACTTCAAGCTACCCGATGACACCTTCAAAAATGCAGTCATCGCTAATGATCCGCCTCTGAATCCCCCTCAACCACCCCTGAACTTCCCCACACCCCGCCCTAATTGGATTTTTAATTTTTTTTCGCTAGACTGAATTGCGGTTCTAGCCTGCCCGCTCGGAACGAGGCCACTTAATTTGCCGAAGTTCCCTCTGGTCTTTAGATTTCACAAAATAACCCAATTAGCGCGTGAATTTACGCCCAGTTTTGTCATAGATATTCCGGTTCAATGATTTCAAATACTGGCGCCCCAGCATTATTTTTTTAAAAATCTGAAATATTCTTTGTTGTAGACTACCAAAAATCTTTCCAGTTGACTGGCGATTAGGACGGAGGAGTTCGTCGAATTTGATTGAAATGTCTTTTGGCATTTTTCCGGTCGCCTAGAGCTTGGCTTAATTAAATTTCGCAGCGAATTCGAGATTTCGGCATAAGTTTCAACTAGTTGCAGGAGTGCCCAGCTGAAACTTTCCAAAAGTTTTTGTTTTGCTGAGTTCGGGAAAATATTTATGCAGGGATGGGAGCAAATGTAGGTCATAGTTTGGATAATTAATAGGTGTTGTTTTCCGAATTATTTATTGCCAGGTGGTGTTGGTAGTTAATTTGCATCTAGAATTCTAAGAACATTTTTTATGGTTTACGTGTTGAAAAATGGGTTGTTTGTGGAGAACAACAGAGAATGTAATTTTTGTTCGATTATACTTTTCAGGCCTTAATGAAATTTACGTAAATTTTCTAGCCGTTTGCTGGACGAACCACGTTCACTTCCGCATCTCTTTAATACCCGTTTACCATTTCTGGAAACAAGAATTCTATAAAAAGTCTTTTCCGTGGGAGTAGCAATCTGATACCAGCCGGCCATCCGAGGTGGCCGTCTTGAGACAACAGTTTGTTGCCCGCAGGCATCTCGGGTTCGGTTGATGTTTTGAAGTGATGGCCACCCAAGCATAGCCACCACACTCCCTCTCTCTGTTAGCCATCCGATCTCCCTTTCCTCCAACCTTTAACGGCTGATATTTCATCAGCAACAACCTGCCACTGTGGTGACCTTATCTAAACATGTCAAACCCGCCCGTTCATCAATCTCTTGCCCTCTAAACACAAATTTTTGCGGTCTGTTGATTTGATTTTTTTGGTCACCGGACCGCACAACTGCCCCTACCTAGAGAGCACTATCGCGAAAACCCAATGGGCCCCTTAGGGCTCACTGGCACCCAGATAAGTTAATTACTGGGTGAACAGCTCTATTTTGGCGGTGCGCTTCCCCCTATTTATAGCTTGCCCCTCTCTTGTTCATAAGGGAGCCGTCTTGTCTCTTTCGAGAGGGGCAAATGACAATGAAGCAATTTTGTTCGCTCCCGCTACAAATCCACGAGGCGCCCGGAGGTTCATCATTTTTATTTCGCGGATCTGGGAGATGTTGATTGGGTATTATGTTGTGTCCGGAAGATATAGTTTTTGTGTGGTTTTTTATTGTTCGTGACGTAAGACTAAGATTGTACCAAGATTTATGAATATTTCGGGAGAGACTGGCAGTAGAAAGCAACCTCTTTAATCTGCAAATGCTTTAATCTTCAAATTTCTTTAATGTGTATCAGTTTCGGCATTGACCCATATATTCAATTCTGTGATCCTTTCGCGGCATTAATAGGCTAATTATGCATCTATTAAAGGCTTATTTCCTCTGTCGCCGCCCCTCTCTCTCACTCTCTCTCTCTCTCTCTCTCTCTCTCTCGCTCTCTCTTTATTCTCTATCACTCTCTCTTGCCACCTCACGCTACTGTACCCCTAAAACCACCGAAATCAAACTATTTGCCTTCCCCATACTAAATCACCATCAATCCCCACAGTGTCACCGACACTTAGCAACCACGTGGGCCCCCAAGAAGAAGACCTTCCCTCTATCGGTTGTATTATTGGAAACACATCTCGTGTGCTTCACCTCCTCCTCCATTCCTGGCCACAGCTGGATTAAAGCAAATTGGCACGCGGTTAAACCACCACGGAGTCATTCTCCCCACCCGGTCTTCTTCCCCCACACAAACCACTTGAAACGCGTATCACCGCCCAAAACAATGCGCAAGGAATCACGGTGTTCTTGCTCAGATTATCTATACCTATCTGTCGGGCTTCATTATTTACCGTTCTGGCAGTTAATTTTTGTTTGAGCGGTTCTTAGATGTACTGCACCTGTAAATACTGGCAATTGTTCGAGGGTTCTTTATGACTGGATGCCTTGTTAATCCGACATAGTGAATAGGATTGTGTTCTATTGAGGAAACCGTGTGGTTCTAACGGTAAACGTGAGGTTTTGGTCCAATTATTTGATTTTTAATACAACTTTGAAAAATCCGCGGGTTAATTGACAATTTTAAAGCAGTATAGACTAGTACAAAGTACGTTTGGATGCCAATCTTCCCTAAACCCAAGAAAATTCAAGCAAACGCGCAAGTCCCAGGTGTTTTATTCTCCACTTGACTAAAAAAGACTAGTCTAGCTGGATTCAAGATGGAAATCTACGCATAACCTCAGGATTCAGCCCCCCATAAAAATAGCTAATTTCGTGAAAATCCAGGTGCAAAATTTGATCATCATACACAATTCACACCAATCATCATCATCATACCAAACGATCATCATAAATTCACATCCCTTCAGAATCGAAACTACGCAGATAGACCAACTCCGGCAAAAATTCCTGAAACTGCGCAGTTAACAAAAAAAACCCATCCAGTCAGCTGCTATTCATTAAGAATTCTTTCCCCCTTCCCCCCTGCTGCCCAAATTATTCAAATAGCTCCAATCCACTTTCATCTGTTCCTCCCTCAAAAAAAAAATACCCGGAACCCGCAGACCCAATCACTATATAGCTGATGCTATCTTGGGGCGCCTTCCGGAACTTTTCACTTGACTACCAGTAGTAGTGCTTTCCCTTTTGGGGGGACCCTAATCTAGACATGCAAATTGCCCCGAACGCCGCTTACACACGGGGATGCGCATCCGGCTTTTTCCGGGGAAAAATGGAAGCTTCTTTCTTTCGCCTCGTGACGACTTTTTGGGTTATTGTTTATAGGATGAGTAGGGAATAAATTAAGGGAGGAGCTTGATATGTGACTGCTTATGGATGCGTTGTTGTTGCGGCGGGCGTTGTGACGTAGTAAAGTCAAGAATTTGGATGGGTAGCTTAATTTTATCAAATATTATATTCTACCAAATTCAGAATATCGAAAATTTTAAAGTAAGAAAATTCCTGGGCCGCGAAAACTTACCTTGACCAATTTCTCTTGTCCATCTAGCTATACCCAGAATTCTCCCTCTCCCGGGCCTCGCCTAAATTAGTTCAATCCGGGCATACAAGAAAAGGCACCCTCAACCTCTCTGGAAAAAGAAGCCTAATGGTGTTCGGCGGAAGTGGATTTACCTCCCTTCCTTTTTATTCCTTCCTTTCTTCCTTTTTTTTGCCATCCGGAGGGGCTCGATTCTGACCCGGTCGAACAAGCAAAGCCCAAAGAGCCTCTTACGCCCTAAGGGCACACAATATTCCGACTTATCAAAACAAACCTATTCACTGAGCCGTGCAAAAAAACACTGACCCTGTGTCCTTCTAGTCAAAATATATTCAAGAGACTAGACATCTACCTCGTGGCTTTCTGTTTATGACAGCAGCAATGGATAAAGAGGCGTCACAGGTTTGAGCATTTGCAGATCTTTTCCAAAGAGGGCTCCTTCCCAACTATACACTTTTGATTCACCCAAGACCTCCGTCTTTCCCTTTCCCTCATCTCTGAACTGCTATCTTTAGATCCCGAATATGAATTCCGGGCCATCCTCCCCCTATGACAAACATCCTTCTTGGGTCCAAGGTTATTAACATCAGAAAAACTCTCTGCGCATACCAGCTTCAAATGGGGAAATTGAGTTTTCGCGCCCCCTCCGACGCGTAGTTCAAATACGGCGTGCCGGCATCGGATTTCTGCCATTTGCAAAAATTGCCCCCGCAACCCCAACCCACGCCTCATGCAAATGGTGTTCTACTGGAGGTCCAGCAAGGCACATGTAACTTTGTTTTCAATAATGCCGGATGGTGTCGAGTTTAGCGAGTGGTGGCTGGGTTTAAAAGCCGGCTTTTCAGACTGAAACAGCCGCGAAAGCTAACGGACGTCCGAGGGTGAGGATGCTGCCGATAAAGCGGGAAGGCAGTAGGGAGAGTTTGAGATCGGAAGGGAGGACTCAATTACTGCTTCACAACGTTGGCAAAACAATTCAAAGGTTAGTTATTTAAATTATTACAATTCAGCTATATATCAATTGCGTTAAAGTTCATTTTCGCGAGTTCCATTGGTTTCTACCAATCCCGCAAAAAACAATTCCCATTTCCGATAACATGTTGCCCCGCATAAATGGGCTGCGAACGCGCAAAAGTGTCATTTGCAACTCCAATGCATTCCAGGACCGGATCGCAACTCCGAAAAACCCGGCTTTTTCACATATTCTACCTTGTCGCTCTACCTGTCTACACGATGATTGGCGCTATTATCTTCCAGGTATTTTAAAACGATGGATAATTTACGTTTTTGTAGGCATTGGATGGTGAGCACGATGATCGTCTACTTCATGAATATCAGATACGCTGTCAGGTAAAAATTGTAAGGCAGCTCATATTGGTGTATTTTTAGGAAGACCGGGATCTGAAACTAAGCTCTATCCAACAGTTGTGTAGTGATGGAGCCATCTGCTTTGAAGAGATGAGGAAACTAGTGTTTGGTGTTGATGAATGCTATCGAAAGTAACCCTTTTAAGCATGATTTAAAATGAGCATTTAGTTGGCACGCTCACAACCGTACCGTCACGCATTCAATGAACAACTTCACAAATGCGCTTGTCTACGCATTCAGCGTATATACTACGATCGGTTACGGCAACATGGCTGCTGATACATTCAACTGCCGGCTCGCCACGATCATCTACGGTGCATTGGGGATTCCGCTTTTCTTTGCGTTTGTTAAGGTATATCCCTTCAATTTTTCTAAACATTTTTTTTATTTAGGAAGAGGGTAACCTTTGTCGTGACCTTTTCATCATCGTCTACAAAAAAGTGCGCAAGGCCAGAAATAACTGCCTGTGCTCTCGATATACTGAGGTGGATAAATGTGAGTTTTGGACGCGAGATTCTAATTCCTGAATGATTACAGTATCCAATCCATCGACTACTTCAAAGGGCCCAACGCCACTTCCGACATTTCAAAATGGGCATGTTGGGAATTGCTTGACAATACCCGCATCGCCAAATCCATCTTACAACTCGCAATTGTCGCCTAGCCTTACGACACCAAATAGTGAAATGGTAAGTAAATTTCAAAATTATTTGTTAACGACTTCTGAATGCACCAACCTATTTATATAACTTTTTCAGGGTGATCTCGCCAATGGACTCCTCGAACATGGCGTAAATTACCATACCCTGCAGAGAAAACTAAGCACTGGAAGCCTACTTGGTAATATTATCGCTATAAGCTTTCAAATGCTTCTAGGTACCAATATTCTTGATGAACAGCGCAAGGTATTCCTCGCCGGCTGCATCGTCTTCGTGCTGTACATCCTCTCCGTGGCTGCTCTATTCTCACTGACAACTGAATTTGACTACTTCACCTCCGTGTACTTCTTATTCAATAGCGTCGCGCTTATTGGTCGGTTTAAAGAGGCATCTAAGTGCAATAGAGATGGAGCTGGATAGCAACATAATTATTGACTAGAATTTTGTAGTTTGATTCGAAAATTAGGGGGATTTTTGATCGTTGCCTAGGTTGTAAAACACTTTTCTGCTAAATTAAATACTGGGTTAAGGCAAAACAAAGACCATTTATTTATTTTATGACGTACATTACAGGATTCGGGGACGTTTTCCCACAAGATCCGGCGAATATCTTGATGCACGCCGCTTTTATGGTACTCGGCGTAGTACTCTTCTCAATGTGCTATTTCATTCTCCAGGAAGAAATCCGAGAAAAGGTAATCCCTCATCCCAACACTTTTTCTACACTACCCCCCGACCACCAGCCGCGCCATTCCATAAATTTCTCCCGCCACAGTTTGCCTCACTTATCCGCCCGTACCGAACCCTACTTGTCGGCCGCTCAGTCTAGTTTCGCGGTTTGGCCGCAAAAGTGGCACAATTTTTACGGAGATTCGGGCCAAAATTCCCACGGTGAAGGTCAATGGCGCGTCCGAAAAATGTATCGCGCGTTGGTTTTGCGGTTTGAACTTTGTTGAAAAATTCCTTCGCAAGTGAAAGTTGCAATGAAATGCTGGAGAGGGAGAACTAAAGCGTTCAAATTGTACTGTGCTCGAGAAACACTTTTTTCTGCTAGTTTGGTATTTTGCTGTACCGCCCATCCTCCAGAAAAACCCTCAAATTGTTAATGGTCCCTTGGCTGCCATAAAAACGCAATTTTTCTGCCTCGTCAGTCTGAGGGTCCCAGGGATGTCGGCAAAAAAATAGAACATCATTTCTGATCGCCATTTTCCAGGCCGTTGAAGCGTCGCGAAAAGCGCGGATGTCCATCTCGAAATATTCGCATTCCTTGGTGGCGAGGAGCCCGTGGTCAAGGAGGAACAGCCCATTATATGAAGGGGATGCGTCGGAATCGGCATTTGACAGGCTGAAGAAGAGGAGACAGTCTGCCCCTGCAGTTGCCGTCACCGGAGCGAATGGAAAAATTACAAAGTTTCGTGAGATTTGATTGGAGCCGAGGTGTAGGCTGATCCAATCTATCGTTGCCATGTTTTGCAAGACGTTTGTAATGATTCCGGGCCTTTGTTTTTATTTAGAACAGGTACAACCCATTATTTTGCATCCCACTCACTTCACTCTGAAAAGAGCTTGATTTTTCGTTGTACATTTTCTTTGCATATTATGTTATCCCAACCTCTTATTCTCTAAAAAAGATCTCCAACCCGACCACCCCGCGCCGATGTCTAAAATAAGCCTCCCTTTTTGACAGGTCCACTGAAACTGTGTAGCCCATTCACATTCTAATATGTGGATGAATCCCTCCCCAGACACAAGTAGTTGCACTCTATTGCTCGAATTCGGTTATCTTTGCACGACACGGGAATGAATTTCGCCAGAAATAAACGGATTTGGTACGCTTTGGCCAATTCGCGATGTAATAAAATCATGACGGCATTGAGATTAAATTGAATGCGTTAAATTAGGGCTTGAATGGCCATCGATGAAGGTTGCGAATCACAAAATTTATGACTGATTAGCACTTTACACGAGATACGTAACCCGGGGAGCAACACGAACCGGTATCCGATACACGATAGAACGGTCTTGTACTGGGCGCGTCGTTTTCTCCCAAATCGTCGTCACGATATTAATATGTTCTTGGGAGGTGACCTGCTGCCGATTGATACTTGGGACTTGGCTTGGAGGGGTTATGCAAGGAAAGATGTGCAACAAATCGCGGCAACAATAGAAATATAGAAACGGCAGGCAAAATATGCAGATCGGTTGAGCAAATAACGATGACAGCTCCTGAAAAATGTAATTTAAACAAAGATCATTTAAGCTACCAGAAGACGTAATTGGGGTTTAGCCGGCAGAAAGTAAAAATGGCAATTTTTCACAACTTTAAGAAGCTGGGCTTTAATTCGAGGCATCACTACATCAATCGATCCTACCGTAGAAATGGTAGATTAGATTACCTTGAAGAGCGCATAGCTTTTTAGCGTTTGCCATGTGCACTGGCTCCCAATGTAAATAACCACAAAATTGAAGAAATGGACGGATAGGTGGAATATCGAAATGGCGACCACGGTACGTGTAGCGCGCAGCATCTCTTGTTGTTGGTAGCGGACGGTTAGACTCTTGAAATTGCCGACAGCTTGGGCTCTAAATCTCATGTTAATTCGACCAAAATCCATTTTTTTTAGTCTACCCATCATTATTTTTAAAATGATTAATTCTAAAATCACTTCTAAAACCATAACTTCAAAAAGTCATGGCTTCTTAAAGTCAAGTCAAAACCACTGAATACGCTTCTTCAAAAATTCTTAGCGTTGATTTGCGAATAAATATGACCAAATTTGCCGAGAAACTGAAAGTCCCATGTAGCAACTTTTAGAAGTAACGATTTTAGAAGTAATGATGTTTAGAATGAATGCCTTTGGGAAATAAGGTTTTTAGAAGAATGTGACTTCTAGAAGTAATGATTTTAAAAGTAATGATCGTCTCGTCATTTTTTTTGCTACGGTCACGACATTTGAGTTAGAGTCTATCTTTAGACCAGGCGCTATGGGAACAATTTCCGTCATTCAAATTAAAAAACACCCCTCCTCCAGGCCAACAAGACCTACTTCAACTTCCTATGTGTCAGGTAGCGCACTGTAAACATGAGCGAGATACTTGTGATGCTGGCCGGGAAGTCCAGCGTGAGCACATCCACCACCGATAGTGTGTTTGACGTCACCGACGAGCAATATGCCACCCGTTCCCCTCCAGATGGCGGGTTCAAATATGCCCGTTCAACGTTATCGATGACCGTCCAAAAGAAGGGAAGCCACTGAAAAGGTTGCTTGGCTTTTTTAGTGTGTTAAATTCATACCGAAAATATTGACAAGAATATGCCGACTAAGGGGCAGCTTAATTTATTGATATGCCTTGGGAAATTGTAGATCAATAAGCGCTCAACGCTGAATGCCGGATAGACCCAAATACTCGTCAATTGGGCTTGCAAATTAATGGCAGCGATAGCTTTGCAGTTTCGTAATTCTTGGACGAGATTACAGGAATCCTTCAAAACAAACTAATGAAACCAGAACTTTGAAACCCACCCCAAAAACCGAATTATAAAGTATCAATGAAGATCGTCGTGTCGTTAGCAAAGCCCGAACTATCATACTCAAATACAAACTACTAACAATAATCCGCCCGTTCGTATTAAAAACCTAAAATCCAAAATCTCGTCGCCCGGACCACCGAGAACAACCCACATGTCTCTTGGCAAGTGCAATAATCGTCACAACACTTAAGCATATGCCGATCAAGTTGAGAATGCATACAGCTGAGTGGACGATGTACATCGGAACATTTCGATAAATATCGGCAGCATCTTGACACAAATCAACATCCATCCCGTATTCGGCATTTGGCTGCCAGCCCGTTGGCCACACGGTCTGGCCTTCTTGGCCTCCCCCGTATCCCCTTAGGACCTCTCCTGAACACACGGTTTTGCCTCACAAAAAACAAAGGCGACAATTATGGCAACGCCAAGCTCCACCTCCCGACGCCTTTATTTGCAAACTAATTGGGGAGCCCCAATTATGTAGCCGTGTTTTTGAGACCGGGAACTATGGTGAGAGTGAGTAAGTGAGACAAAAAACGACAAAAGGTTAGGTGTTATGTGCAAAAGAGTCGGAAAAATGGAAATGTTGTAATTTGGGCAAAGCGGGTAGTTTGGGTGGGGTAGACTAGGCTGCCAACGAGGGCTTTAGTCAGAAGTTTTGGTTGAGAATTGTTTTCTGGGTTGGCTGAGTAAGTGAGTTAGTTTTAGCGTAGTTCATGAATTTCCCAGTTAAATTGGGAGAAGCCCTTTAAATTTAGAAATTTTCAGAAATATTACTCCATACTTCAGGTTCCAGGTTGAAATTTTCTGCAAATTGTTTGTCTGGATTTGCAAAAGCACCTGGCGGAAAAATTGAAGAGATGGTTGGGATCAAATGATTAATCATTGACAAAACGTTATTTCTTTCATAACTATCAAATTGCAATTTCCAAATTCTTACAACCACATCGTAACCTTGAGGATGTCACTTGCGTAGTTGTTTTCTCGTTTTTTATCGCCCATCACCCGGGCGATCCTCAAAAATTTGCCGCGCGCGCACCACCCCGGTCGGACTATTGTCCATTGTCAGCCAGGAAACAGCGGTTTTGGATAGTTGATAGTTCTCTCAAAAAGCGGTACGGCCTCCCCTTGCCTCAATCCTCCTTGAACCGTCGACCTCCCGCCCTTCTACGTTACTCCACCTCAAACGTGAGCGCGGGGGCCCCCTCCAAAAAGCGGGGCACTCGATCCGGCAATCCACTAATATAAAGAAGAAAACCGTGAGCACCAGCCAGGTCCAGACCTCCACCCCACTCCTTGATTCCGCGGCGCCTCTAGTTCCACCCAGCCACGCCAATTGCATCTAGCGGCTGGGCCATTTTTTTCCTTTCTTCATTTGGAACTGTTCCCGGTTGAAACCCGTTTCTTGGACTGATACCAGTATTTTTCGGGAGCCCTACTAATGCCGAAAAGAATATTTATTTTCGCGTTCCTGCTTCTACGATGTACCGCTGATGAGGTGAGCCTTTTTTCTGAAATTTTTGTAATTATCGGTTTACAAAGATGTACCTTTTGGGCGCTTAAGTAACGAACGAATCGGAGCGTTTTGATTGCAGCCCTGGGGAATAGGGGCGGATTAATTGCGAATACGTTGAAACACTATGAATGACGGCCAAAACCTCAAAATTAACTGGAGGCAATGTTTTTGCGTCGGAACGTTGGATCGGTGCTGATGTTGATATTTAGGAAACCAGCATTGTACAAAAAACGGAAGAACTTTTGAATGGGGGAAGTCCGGAAGCAGATGTAAATTTAAATACGACAACAACGGCTGGACCGGATTTGACGACGACCACTACATTACCGCAAAATGGTTTTGCGGGTGTCACGACGGCTGGCCCCTCGGAAATTGACACTCAAACCACAACTGTTGCCCCAGCCACAGCCACATTTTCCATACCTACCTTCGCCGACGCGACAACAGCAAATCCTAATTTGACACTGGCTGAAGAAGTGGTCCATTTGGATGCTTCAAAGGGAAAGCAGGTAGACAATTTTTGAAAATTACTTTAAAAATCGTTCTCTTCCACTCCTTTCTTTCCTTTTAAACTCTTTTTTCTCAAGGAAGCTTTGAAATCGCAGCTCACGAAAAAGGTAAGTTTCTCTCCACTTAATCTCTATTTGGTTAGCAATAGCTCTTAAACTATAGAAACCAGTTCATAAGTACGAATAACCAACCAGAGCTTAGTTATACTATCCTCACTTTTACGGAGTCAATTTATCTTTGCGCTTTAAGATCATCAAACACAAAAACGAGACCACCGGAATCGCTTGGGTCCGTATGAGCGATGTCGAAAAGGACTACAAATCCGAGCTGCCCGCTGCCGACGAGGACAAGGAAGGCAAGTGATCGACCAAAAAAAAATTTGATAGCCCGAGTCGACTCTCCCCCGTAAAATCCTTTTGTGACGCGCGACCTTGCCTGGTTTCGAAGTGCAAAATGATGGACTAAGTGTGGGGATAGAACCCTGTCCCCGGACAAACCCAAAAAAATTTCCATGGATTGCGGCGTGAAGGAAAATGATGGATTTTTTAAGATATGGAGGATCTTTGCCCGGAAACCAGGAACGGCATTTCGAATGAGGCGAGGATTGCTGTGGTTGATTTTCATAATCGAATGAGGTTAGTATTTGAAGGGAACGTTCGAAAATTGGGGTTTAATAGTGCTTTTCATTTTTCGGGAAATAATCACTTAAAATTTTGTCTATAATAGGAAAAGCAGGTGCATTTTAAACTATAGTAAAAGAAATTAACCGTCATGTAATTTAGTTGAAATCTTTTTAGAACTCGTCTCGCTCAAGGCAAGCAGCGTGATAAGCGCTCAATTTTTGCACCGCCTGGCCGGGATCTTCTGAAAATGGTAACTCCGGTCCATTTTTCGAGAATACAATTTCTAGATGTACGATTGCGATATTGAAGCCAACGCACAATCTTGGGCCGACGCCTGTAAGCATAGGTAAAAAGCCTGCAAAACCTCTGGAACATTTCATTCCAGGCATACCGATGGGCGAACTCGACGGATGCTGGACATTGGTGAAAATTTGGCGTGGATCCCTGGAAATCGATCTGATACCGAACACGTCACATTTGTGCGTTTTTGTCCTTTGAACCTCAGGCAACATCCAACTTTAGTCTAGCTTCTTGTGGTGGCGAGAGGTTGAAAGCATCGGCATTGGCAACGATACGACCTTTCTCTACGAATTCTTGCAACAAGGATTGGGGCACTACACGCAGGTCTGTATTTAAAAAAAGAATTGTTTTCGAAGCCTTGCCTTTACTCTATCGCGTTGTTTTGGTTCGTCGGCACTTATTGCGTCGAAATTCTCGAATCAAAACTAATTTGGAGCCCTTGTTTCGATCGGTTCCTAATTTCCCTTGAGGATAACAACAAACAATGTGACAGCTTGTCAATTTTTTTTCTAAAGACGAATCCCCCAGAGATTGGCTAGATCAGTTCCTGGTTCCACCAGTCTATCCCAAAATTGCAGATGGCGTGGCACGGTTCGTTCCGGTTGGGTTGCGGGATGAACCAGTGCAATGATTGGATGTATGTCGTCTGTCAATATACTCCCAGGTAGAAAAATAGCACACAAGTGGAATGCAAAACTCTTTTAAGGGGTAATGGACCGGAAGGAAGAAAAATCTACACAATCGGAGATCCCTGTAAAACCGACGATGATTGTCCTGGGCATACAAAGTGTCTGGAGGAGGAGGCACTCTGTGAGGTGCCACCGGAGACAATAAAAAGGAGGAAGCGGTCGAATTGGAAACGATAGACCTTGCATGTATTTTTGTGTTTTTGTAGATATTTGTGATTTTGGAATAAACATATCATGCTCATGGAGGTAGTTCAACTTGTTGAGTTGATTGCACGGCATGTCTGGTAGTGGGAAATAAGCCCGTAAGCTAACATCACGATTATTCTATTAGTGTATTGTTAGAAAATTAAATAACTTGCACCTAGAAGGAACAGACCCTAGTATCTGTTTCAAACGGCCTTATCGGCTGTCGCGTATTACAGAATACTGGACTTTTGAGAAATAACCGAAAGACGACAAACTAGCGCTTTTAGATTAACCTTTCGATTGTTTGATTAATGAATTCTACTCTTCTACTCGTGATGGCCAATCTTTCATCGACGGCTTTTTTTCACACACTTTCCCCCTCATCAAGCAAAAAAGATCGGTCTGGGTTGCCCACCATCGTCTTTTTGAGGCATTGCACAGATCACCGCTCCCAACAGTCTGTCCACCCGCTCCTCTAACAGAATGATTTCCTCCAAAAAATTGGATTGGCTGGTTGTCTAGTCAATGGTTTTTTATTGGCTTTATTGTACTGGAGATTACATAATTGTATCGTTGACTTTATCATTGAAATGGAATAGTTATTGTGAGAATCAGCTACTGCTATCCCTTTTTCTGCGGCTATTAGAAGCATGTCCCTTTTCTCCTGTTCCTAGCCATACCTAAAATTCGGTACTTTATTCCTAATTCCTCGATTTTTTAGTGATTCCCCCTTTGGAATTATCCTATCCTCTAAATGACCACGACGAGGAAGCTATCATGCTTTAAAGATCCACGAACAATGCTGCTGGTCCTTGTATACATCGGAATTTCTTTGGACTACATCCTTATGGAAGTGGTTGGCAAGTCAATGAGTTTCACAATAAATCTGACGAATAATTTAGTGCCCATCCTTCCCGAATACCTCCTTCGGCTGTCGCATCCGGACGATGCTGAATTTATTCTGGGTGTAGCGGAAGTTCGTACAGATTCCTAACCAACTTCAGCGATTGATTGTCACCGATGAGTCGAAATCAAAAGCTGCGCTCCGACATCAGCTAATAGAATCGGAGGGAGTGTCGTTTAGGTAATCTATCATTAAGTAATTTAGCCTTTCGCAACACATGCTACAAAAATACTTGTTTCGGTACCACTGAATTTCAAAACAACTATGCTCACGTTTTCAGCATACTCTATGGATCGAAGACTTTCGTTCAGCTATGGTCCAATTTTCTTGTTGGGCCCTTGACCAACAGGTGTCAGGATAATTGCAATCCTTAGCAGCCGTTTTAGAATTGGGTATTCGATGCCCCTCTTTATTGGATTTGTCATTATGACTGCATCTACCATGATGTTCGCCTTCGGCAACAGCTATATTATTCTTCTGCTCGCTAGATCTCTCCAAGGGGCTGGTTCCGCTTGTACCGCTACTGCAGGTATGCATAATGGAAAATTTTAAGGTTGCGATAATTCAGGGATGGCATTGCTCGCGGGTGTCTACACCGACGAGAAAGAGAGGAGTTGGGCGATGGGTATCGCGCTGGGTGCTATAGCGATTGGTAGAATAATCAACACTTGGAACGCTGTTTAAGGCGGAATCCTCGGGCCTCCTTATGGTGGTACTATGTACAGTAGCGTGCAAAAAAAGAAGGCAACACCCAGGAAGCTCTTGTAACTCGGCTGCCTCGTTATATTTTGCACCAAACTGAATGTTTCCTAGTGTTTTCGATGCTGTAGAATTCGATGAGCAGGGTCCGAAGCCGCGAAAATGACGTTTAGTAACTTAAATATGGAATTTAAAACAGCGCCAAAAAAATCTACTTTTTCTAAAGGCATTTTTCCGTTTCAAAAACATCACCATCGTGTTCAGCATGGTCGATTTACCCGTTGTCACTGTCGTATGTGATCGGATTTGACTTGACCTAGCCGGGAGGCGGCGTTTTCCTTGCGCCAAACGGGTCAAGAAGTGGGCTCGTCTGGGGTAAAGGTATTGCAGGCGCCCCCATCAGACCGATGGCGACCCCTATTAAACGCAGCTTCCTAGCCGACTGAAGACGTCCTAAGCAACCAGAAACATTGACTTTGGACATTTGACATTTTCGCGGCTTCGGACCCTGCTCATCGAATTCTACAGCATCGAAAAAACTAGGAAACATTCCGTTTGGTGCAAAATATAACGGGGCAGCCGAATTACAAGAGCTTCCTGGGTGTTGCCTTCTTTTTGCACGCTACTGTATGATATGTTTGGGAAAGAGCTCCCTTTTATTTTATTGGCCATTTTCGGAGCTATTGGAGCCGGTAAGCATCAGGTTTTTGGAAAGCTTAACTCAAATTCAGGACTTCAACTTTGGGTACTACCCCCCAAAATTACTAAACCTCTCGTTGAAGGAACGCCTAGTTCTATTAAAAACTTATTGGGAGATCCCTATGTTGTCCTGGCACTCGGTAGGTTCATAATATTCATACACACAAATACACAGAAGTGCAACAAAAATATCCCAGTTATCGAAAACCCGCGAAAATAGTAAAAACAATAAAACCCATTTGAGCTGGGTTTTTCTTTACCTACTTCGGATGGGCCGAGGTCCAACCGGCGCTTCCGATGCGAATGATTGACCTCTGGGGCGCGACTGCTATGGAACGAGGCCTCGTCTATCTTCCAGGATCCCTTTTGTAGTTTGCTGGCACAAACTTTTTTGGACCGTTTGCTTTGAATATGGGACGGTAAATTTGAATCTGGCAACTACGAAATGAAGGTTTGAAGATGGCTTGCCATGACTACCGCTCTCATCATTCTGGGATTGGCAATGTTTGTGATCCCATTCGTGCCGTCATTGTGGTATCTACCCATCCCAATTTCAGTGATTTATCTGGGCATCAGTAATAACAATCGAGTTCTCCTAAATTGTTTTTAGGTCTATTTGATGCTGCGGTGCATGCTTTGATCCGATGCTTGGTTATTTAGTCGAAATTCGCCATCAGAACGCCTACGGTAAGGAACTATTCTTCCCCCATTTTTCTAGAAATTCATAGACAGACTTATAATGTTTAGGTTTGATGTATGCTATGTTAGACGGTGTATACTGTATCGCGATGGTTATAGGGCCGTTTTCTTCCGGGAAAATCGTCCAAAACATTGGTTTCAGCCAGTAACTCCAGTCGTTTTCAATTTTGCTGGCTTTTAGCCTGACCTATGCTGTTGTTGCTATCACTCTCGCTTCAGCTCCTTTCATGATCTTTCTCCGAAATCCACCAGTTTTGAAGAGCAATGTAAAAACTGCCGATTTTTAAGCCAGATTCATTTAGTTCGAAACCCAAGCCATCAGCGTCATCAACAGCGACCCAAGCGTCATCGTGCCTGGAAAAGATCCCGAGCCGGTTGTATTTGCTACAGCCTAATTCTTCTGTCATCTTGTTAATTAAAAAATTTAGTATCTGTTTTGGGTTCCTTAACTTTTTGACGTATTGTTGATCTCTAATAAATCATTCCCTCGATGGTTTTGAGAGAGTTCGGGGTGAATGCTGGTCAAATTAAGCATTGCTGCACTCAACCGGACATTTGAAGTAAAATGATAAGGTGGAATTGGCTTACAGGTAACTTGCAATTTTTGTAAGCTGACAATTCCGTAGCCGCTAGAAGGCTAATTCGTATTCTTGAAAGCACTATTTTTGATACTCTGATCGGATAATGAACGTGTCACATTGGTGTGTTTTGATGATTGTTAAGACGTCGGATTCAGACTATGAGGATGAATAGGTCCAGGAGGCGGGCGAGAAGTGATAGACCTTCAATGTTTTTGTAGATCATAATAATTGTGCATAAAGATCTCATTCAGTTGCTTTCAGCAGGTTGGTGGGTGGCTCCATGGAGCGTGGCCAAGATTGCATCAGAATTAGAAATTTAGGCTCAGTAGTCACAGCTTACAAAATGATAGAAATGCAAGGCTAGCCCTTATCGATCCGATTATTTTTAACAGCGGCCCGAGAAAGAAAATGCAATATTTCACTTCCTGCGAAACCGCCCACGCTTTGATTACCACCTCGCTCATCCCCACCAAATTTCGGTATCAATGAATCCATTGTGTGAGAGCATTTTTATGGCGGTGCTTGAGCACTCATGTGATCGTTTTCGCAAAATGACCGTGGTGGTGCCGAAGACAGTGTGGGTTTTGACGCTTCTTCGCGCCCCCTTCCAACAGCGGAACCGGCCCTGCACGTGGTTGTAGTGGTGTTGGAGGAAGAGAAGGAGGAGGACGAGGTGACGGATGGTTTGATCGGGCTTCGGCCAATACTAGCGCATCACACCCCTCTAGGTGATAGGAGACTGGGTTTTAGGCTAGTGAATTGTCATTCAGCTTTGATGAAAACGATCTACTACTTCCAGATTGTCTTATGATTCCTATAATTCAAGTTACGCCGTGCAATAATGCTAGAAATTTGTCGTAAGAGCAATTTTTCAAAATTCCTCGAGAGATTACCCTAACAGAGAGATCTCAATTCCAAGAAATTATCACGTTGCACGGCGGTCCTTACTCAAAATCAACTCATCATGCACCTAGTATATTTTCGACTCATTGTTTTCGCCCACACGTGATAATAAAGTACTGCACGCACGGCGCAATCGTACGTTTTTTACAGTCTATTCAGAGTCGGACTAATAATAGACTAGACAGAAAATTGGACAAAGACTAGACCCAGACGAACACGTGCTAATGAAGATGCTGCAATATTGACCTGACCAGAGATCAACCGTAGCCAAGGGGGCGGATTGTTGCGGGGTTAGGGGTCGGAAAACGGGCAGATAGCGCGCTTAGGGTCGCGGATCGATTCAGTCGATTCTTTAGGATAATGAGGTGCTTTCATACTATTTTGGAATCTTGCCGACTAGGGCTTTAAAGCGCCTACCGCGCGGATCAGGTTTGGAAAGTGCTCAATGTCCTAAATAATTGTTGCAAAATGGACATTCGAAATTGTCAATTTGTCTAACCCATCATGATACTTTGTTCCTTGATTGCATTCCACCCAAGCGGTGTTACCCCACTTTTCATCGACAGTTTTTTTCCAATCCTCCACTTCTCGTTGTGAACCTAAAAATGGCCAACCAACCCGAAAAATCGGTTCCGGCTGTTCTTAAAAGCCTCAAAATCTTCTTGTACCCACTTCTCCCCATGACAATCCATCACCCAATGTTTTCGTAATGGCATCAGCTGGATAAAGGCGCGAGAAAGCAGGTGACCGGAATGAGAGACGGTCGATACCGTATCAGCCCAGTGATCTCGGTGTTTCATCCGAGAATAGAGAGGTCCAACCCCTCCCCCCATCATCACCCCCGGGTGGGTTGTGCTCATATCTCCTCCCCCATTCGCCAAAGAATAACAGAATGACATTCTCAATATAAAATGGGGCGATTGAGGGCGGAGCGGAAGTTGCCGTCATTTCGCATGGATCGGCCGATTTTTGTTCTGACGGTCTAGGTCATTCGCGGAGGTTCATTCATTTTGTTTTCTGGTTTATACCACTAGGATCCCCATCTGTTTTGATAACCTTCGGCTATCATACCGCTGGAAATTTGAATCTCTATTTAATGAGCGGCACTAAAGATAATTTTTTGGACTGGAAGCACATACCATGTGATTAAACCATTTTCGATACCTTCGACTTCGCATTTGATATACCTTTTACACCTATCGCAGTTCTTTCGTTTTATTCTTTCAGTTAGGAATACGTAAAACCTCGGGCATTAACACCTTTCCAGTGATTCCCCCTTCGGAATTGTCTTCTCCCCCCAAAATGGCCATGACGAGGCAGCTGTCATGCGTAAAAGATCCACGAACAGTGTTGCTGATTGTTGTCTACATCGGACTATTCCTAGATTATATCCTCATGCAAGTAGTTGGTAAGTAAATTCGCTCACTATCACCATATTCATGATTTCAGTACCCATCCTTCCCGAATACCTCCTCCGCCTGTCGCACCCGGACGATGCTGAATTCATCCTAAGCGTAGCGGAAGTTCGTACACCCTCCTAACCCTCTTCAGCGATTGAATGTCACCGATGAGTCGAAAGCTGCGCTCAGGCATCAGCTCATCGAATCTGAGGGAGTGTCTTTTAGGTGAGATCTAACGAGCCTGTACTAATCAGGAGTTTCGGCCTGGGATTTTGACTTTCGGGACAAAAATAGGCCATACAATGCGCTGAGATCCGGAAATGGCTCTTTGTTTTGAGCACGGGAGCTCATCCCTCAGGAAGATAAGGTGGAGGGAGAGGCTGTCATAATGCAAATCGATTTTTATGGATATCAATGTCCCCAAGGGAGTGAAGAGAAGATAAAACGTTAAATCCATGGCATTGTACGCAACAAAATGGACCTAACTAGTTTGCTTTAAGTTTAATAAAAAGCCTAAATTCAGCTTCCTTTTGTTAGCCAATTAACGCATTATTTGAAACCCACTTTGTTCCTTTGCCACTAATTTCTTAAACCATCATCCAACTTTCAGCATACTCTATGGCTCGAAAGCATTTGTGCAGCTACTGGCCAACCCTCTTGTTGGGCCATTGACCAACAGGTGCCGCAACCAATTAAATTTTCTAAATTTCTGTAGAATTGGCTATTCAATGCCCCTCTTTATCGGATTCGTCGTGATGACCGGATCTACCGTAATGTTCGCCTTCGGCAATAGCTACATTGTACTTCTACTGGCTCGATCCCTCCAGGGAGCTGGTTCCGCTTGTACCGCTACTGCCGGTATTGTATATTATTTGGTTTTCAATCGCCCTTACTTCAGGTATGGCGATGCTAGCGGAGGTCTACACTAATGAAAAGGAAAGGAGCCGAGCCATGGGCATTGCCTTGGGGGCTGTCGCGCTTGGTAAGTCAAAGCACGTCAAGTTCTGGATTTCTGTTTGCTTCAGGTGGACTTCTTGGGCCTCCTTACGGTGGCACTATGTATCAATTGTTCGGAAAAGAAATTCCGTTTATTTTATTGGCCGTGTTGGGAGCTGTTGGGGCTGGTAAGGACAATGGTTCCGGCTCGAGCCAAACTTTTCAGGCCTCCAACTATGGGTGCTTCCCCCGAAGATCAGCAAACCGATTGTGGATGGAAAACCCAGTTCTATCAAGAAGCTATTGGGAGATCCCTACGTGGCTTTGGCACTTGGTAGGTTGAAAATTTATCTGCTGTTTGAAAGCCAAAGCTCGCCTTGCTGATCGAAATGCGTCTTCAGGTGGCATCTTCTTCACTTACCTCGGATGGGCCGAGGTCCAACCAGCGATCCCAATGCGAATGATCGACCTCTGGGGTGCTACAGCTATGGAACGAGGCCTCGTCTATCTCCCCTGCTCCCTTATGTACCTAATTGGAACGAACTCTTTCGGACCGATCGCGCTGAAGATGGGGAGGTAATCTTAAAGATCCTGTTTGTAAAGTTTCTCTAGATGGCTCGCCAGCACAACTGGCCTGCTCGTTCTTGGATTGGCAATGCTTGTGATCCCATTCGTCCCTGGAATGTGGTATCTCACCCTCCCATTCGCAGTGATTGGACTGGCCATCGGTAATAACAACCGAGTTTTCTTTAATTGTTTTAGGTCTGATTGACGCTGCTTTGTATCCAATGCTCGGTTATTTGGTGGAGATTCGCCATCAAAACGTCTACGGTAAGTAATTATGGAATTTTGTGTATTCGGAAGAACAATAACCTATTTTCCTTATTTTAGGTTCTGTCTATGCTATGGCCGATGCTGTCTACTGTCTCTCTATGGTCATCGGACCGTTTGCTTCTGGAAAAATTGTTCAGACCATGGGCTTCAATCAGTAACTAAAAAAGTTGCTTTAAAAACTCGGATTTTAGCATGACCTATGCTGCAGTTGCCATCACCATCGTCTCAGCCCCTTTGATGATCTTCCTCCGAAACCCACCGGTTTTGAAGAGCAAGGTATTGCAAAACACTCCATATTTCCATCAAAAAAAATTTTCTAGTCCCTCACCCAAACCATCAGCGTCATCAGCAGCGATTTGAATTCGATCGTCCCAGAAAAAGAGCCCGAGCCGGTTGTATTCACTACGGCCTAATGCTTTTTTATTTTAGTTTATTTCAATAATTTAACATTGTCTAGACTGTATATAGCTTGCGTTATCATTTTGACGTTCTGTTGATCTCTAATAAACTGCCAATTCTTTGGGTCGATTTTGGTTGCTACATGGAAATATTTAAAGACACTCCAGTGAGTCATTTCCCAAAAATAGACGCCCTTGAGGATGGGCAAACAAGGATAACTACCGATAAGAAATTCGTTGGTACATTGAAATTCGATGACAAGCCCACAAAGTTGACCATGAAAATTCATTGACCACCGCATAGAAATTATTTGCAAAAAATACATGCAAATGGGTACGAGAAGCTCAGATAAGATAAGAGAATGGGTAAGAGAAATAGGTATTTCGTTTTCATTAACCTAGCGTTTTCGGTGACCTGTTGATTTTGGAGCGAAAATAGTGAGGGTGTGGCTATAGCGTCGATCCTTTATTGGCAGGTGAGTAGAGAGAGGAACGAGAGAGGTTGATGGCTGTAATGGTGGAGGTGTGAACGGCCTTTGCTGTCCGATGGGTGTTTTGTGTTTGGAAGGGGGGATGATTGGCAGCGAGGTGTGGTGAAGGGTATGTGCCGCTCCAACGGGTTGGCCTCTTTGATTAGTACGGTTGGCATATATCGAAACATTTTGTCTATGAGTTGACAGATTATGAATAAAATAAAGAATGGAAAGCAAAAAAAGTTGCAGAATTTAAACCTCTATAAATCAGTTTTTCGCGCCCATGGACCATTATTTTTAGCTGTTTGTATTTTGATAAACATTACGTATAAGCTTATTCTCTTACGTAGAGATCTGGGCATAGCGAAATATGCATGTGCTGATAGGACTTTACGTCTCACCTCAACGTACTCTTTAAAGGGACGTGTAAGGCAACCTCCAACCCTTCAAAAAAAGCCCGTGTAGGCTTTTGATTTCCAAGCGAGAACCGTCTCAGATAATATCCACTAATTTTGGTTCAATTTGGCCTATTTTATCGCTCTAAATAATTGCCGAAAGGTACTTTAGATAGTCTCAGCCCCGAGACGTTACGCTGTCGAAACGACATCAACCTAGGCCGAAACTCCAAGCCCTTCAAAATCAATGATCCTTAAAAATCTTTAACGAATCCCTAATTATCATACACTATTCATGCATAATTCTGGCCTTGTAGTTGTTTGTATGCGTTGTAGTGGTGTTGAAGGTGCCCCCCTTCAGCCAAGCATTTGTCTGTGGACAGGGCGTGGCTGTGCATGCCGAGACCCCGGCCCTCAACCCCCTCCGTAGCCACCATCCACCCCTCCTACCCCCCACTAGCCCCCTCCCTCCAACCCCCCTTCCATCGCTCCATCTTAGGAATATTCCGTTTATTTCCGCTTCACACATTATGAGCTACAATCATTTATTCAAAATCGTTGTCGTTGGGGACCATAATTGTGGTGAGTTTTTTAATTCTTAAAAAAAGACGAACTCAATTTTTTCCAATTGTAGTTTTTCTTTATATCCCGATTTTTTCTAAATATTATCTACTCGTTTTGTGTCTCCCATAAACCACCCGTCTTTCATACAAATAAACCCATTCTTTTGAAGGGTTTTTCAATATAGTAGATTCCCCAAAAATACAGCATTTGGCGGAATAACCTTTTTGGTCCTTCACCTCCGCCTAAATCCACTTAGAAACTCTTCACTCCTAAAAATTCCAGCCGCTCCTTCCTTCCCTACCTTGTAGAATGCCATAAGACCGCTCTATATGTTCCTCCTCCTTCTTCTCCCCCTCCCCAGCCGACCCAAACAGGTTTTAACATTCCTTTCAAGGGCCCATAAACGCCCCTGAAATTAGCCGCAATTCGATTTGAACGCGTCCGGGGGTCCTTGTCGGTGAATGGCCCATGGGTCCTCGGGAGAAATGGGAGGAAGCTCCTCGAACAGCCCCATCCCGGACCTTCACCCACCCATCCTCATCCAAACTTTATTAGAGCCGCTGCTATCCCCTAGTCTGTCTGGGGCCTAAGGCAATTAGGGGGCACCAAAAACAAAGCGGCCCATCGGTGACCCCTGGAGGCGAGTCGTAACTTTCAGTTAGTTAATGGGCTTAAGACTGGTATTATTTTGCATAAAAATGAGACGCGATAACCTGAGTCAGAAAGGGGTATGGAAAGTTTCTCTGACCAATTTTATGTTGAAATCCCTTTTTCACTTCGACGTCGATTTTTCTAGCACTTCCGGTGCTTCCCACCTCGTTTTTCCTGTTTTCCTTGCCAAAAAACCCCGCACCAACTCGCTATTGGGATAGAGACATCATTGTGGGCTCACTAGGAAGGTTTGTCCTTGCCAATATCTCGACGTTCCATCTCTCGATTGCGCAAATCCTCCTCCTCCTCGTCCCCTCGCCACCCGCTATTACGGCCCGAGCACCCCGACTACTCCTCCCCACGAAATTGATTATCAAGCGGTGTGAGAAAGAGCTGAAAAAAACGTGTTCCTGTTTTAACCGCTCGAAAAGCCGTGCAAAAAATCGAGAAACACTAGGCCACTCTAGAAATTAGAGCCTTCCTATTTCTGGAGGGTACCCTTGAAATTTTCAAGTGTTTGCTCTGGTTTCTCGATTAGCGTTGAGCTTCCAAGGCTTTTTTGCGTTGAAAGTACAACTAGTGGTAGTTGCCGATGGAAGGTTGCACCGTTCGTTCGCAACGCTGGGGCAAATATTAGGAGCCCGGGGTCTCTGTGGCTCATCCGCTGTGTGGGGGCCAGGAATGTTTGGCCAGAGCCACACTGTCACGGGTCACTACGGGGGGATGGAGGGCCACTGCTATCAAGCCATACGAGAGCCGCATGGAGTGGTGAAAATGGAAGGGAATGGGTTTTTGTAGCCAGCGGGGGCCTGGGTTGCCGGATCAGGTTTCCGGAAGGAGCATGGGGTCCCAGAAATCCCGGGGGCTACTCCTCCAGATGGATGTGCATGGTGCTGTGGGTCCCAAGTGGGTACCCCGACCAGCTGTTCCTTCCAGTTGGTCCTTGGCGGGGGTCTTTTGGCAAAAAGTAAGATGATATATGGAGGGACTGTGGAGAGTTTATGGAATTAGGTTGTGGCATTGGCAAAAAATTCGAGCTGTGCAAACCAAGACCTTTAGATCATAACCGCCGTATTTTCGGCTAGATAATCTCATTCCGGGGGTGGCAAAAAAATAACGGTTCTTGCTAGTATAAGCTTTATCTGTAAAATCCGTCAAAACCCTATTTCCAATTCAAGTGCATGTAAATAGTAGTTCAGTTTAGACGGTCTCACGGTATTTCATTGATTTTGGGTATTTTTAAATGGTAAAAACTCACCGCGATCAATTTTTACTCTCATTTTCCTTATTTTGCTCGATTGAAAATGAATTGTATTATTCTCAACAAAAGATGCAAAATCTGGCTTTCCGCAGTCCTGTCTTTATCACCCTTTCCTTCCATGCAAAACCTTCCAAAATTTCACACCTCACCTCACTGACGATACCACCAACCGCCTTTCCCAGCCCATTTTTTTGCCCGCTGAACTTGGGGTGACGGGCGAGCGGGCAAAAAAAAGGCGTTTCCCGCTCGACCGGGTGAGGAGGGGTCTGGCCGGATGGTTGATGGTCGAATAGCGCCTTGGCATATGAATGACCCCTTGCTATCGAGGGCATCGTCATACCCATCCCTGTTACAGGGCCCAACAAACAGCATCATCCTTTCGCCCACACGCACATGTGTTTGGAAATGTCGGTGGAAAGGATGGGGGATTGTAAATAGTAGCTTGTAGCAAGTCACCGTTTGATTCAGTTTTGAGGAGGAGTGTCAGGCGTTTTGTGTAATGTGAAAGTTGTGTCGGGATGCTGGAAAGCTAGAAAGTCAGCATTTTATAATTTTTGAAAACACAGTTACCTCAAAACTTCGCGTCTTTTCTGGAACAATTAGTGACGTATGACTGATTAAAAGCTATCACGTCATTGGTAGTAACGTAGCGTATGAATATGAATATCTCAGAAATCCTTGCATTTCACTCGGTTTTTTTATTAAATCCCTTGAAATTTTAGAAATTGACAAATTTTGGTCAAACAAGCAAAACCAACGCGAAGTTGCCACTCGTGAACCAAGATATTTGTGCAGCATGAATATGAAAATTTTTACCGGAACTATAAACGATAAATTGGCAACTTTAGCATAGCTACCTCTCAATCCTTAATTGCCCTTAAATTTCCTACCTAATTGTATATCGGAAACCCCTTTGATCCACGCCAAGGTGACAAATTGCGCAACTTATAGCGCCCTTGACCTGTCTACAACAAATTTGCGTAGTGTATCTCCCCATCCCATCCCCGTATGCGTTATCATTGCACCCATGTCGATCCCTGGATAGGTGTGTTTAATAGCGTCTGTCCACGCCGGCCTAGATGACCACCCTCCATTTCATGTTTGACCCTGCTGTAACCGGGGGAGACAACGGCGTAATGCTGTGACTCTTTCCTTAGCGACACGACAGCACGCAAATGGGTGGCCCGTCGATGACAAATTGTGTGTAGGGGCAGGGACATGAAAATATCCAAAATGGCATCTATCGTCTGGTCTGTGGATATGAGTCATCTCATGTGTTCGCTCGCCCTTTTTAGGATCGTTCCCAATGGGTCTCCCCCTTTTGCCCAGCCCAATCTTAGCCAACCACCCCCGTTCAATGGAACTGCGGCCTCTCCGGTCAGAGCAAACGCGAAACTGAAGTGACCTGACCAAAACGGGGCACACGGGGTTGACCGGGGGTATAATCAATGGCTGGGGGGGAACTCGTTTCCGATCGGAGTATGACGGGTTGCTCCCGTTCCATTTGCATATGCGGCTTTTTACAGCCATGCTGACCTAGTGGGGGAAATGGAATCGAAAATGAAAAATTGGAAATGACTAGCTAAAATAGGCTTGTCAAGGGCATGCCGACAACGCCGATTTTACCGGAATTAAGGATCAAGTGGAAATTTATAACCCATTAGGTTCAATAGTATAGGTATTAAAAGATGAATGCGTAACATTATTATCCATTAACGATATAATAAAGAGCAGACATCATAGAAATATATACAAATTTTTCAGGAAAATCATGTATCCTCCTCCGATTCGCCGAAAACACCTTCCGGGTCGACCACATCAGCACGCTAGGCGTCGATTTCAAGTTGAAGACGATAAAGCTGGGCAGGGATCGGATACGATTAGAATTGTGGGATACAGCTGGGATGGAAAGGTAAGCACAATACATAGAAATGTAGTAACATTAGCCATTTCTGTCCCCTTATATTTTGCTTACTCTGCTTCACTGTACAATATTTGGGGAGGGACAATGCCCTCAATGCCCGGGCTGGTGGAGCAGCACTCGGCCCCGAATACGTACTCGCTCAATTATTACGCTGTTCCACACCTCAATGGGGGGGGGGGCGACATTGGCCTTGTTGTACAACGTGTAGGGTGTTGTGTTTCGGAAATTTGCATACCAAGCTGAAGGGCTAGAGAGGGTGCTCGGGAAAAGGTATCTGGGTCGTTTAATGAACCTTTATTTCAGGTATCGGACCATCTACAACTCCTACTATCATTCGGCGCACGGCGTCATGTGCGTCTACGATCTTACAAATGAAAAGAGCTTTGAGAATTTGGAAAATTATTGGATTAAGGTATCGCCAGACATTATGTTCGTAAATACAATATTTCTTAGGAAATTCAACGACACGCCCCTCAAAATGCGGTCCTAATGCTCGTTGGAAATAAAGCAGATTTGGAGGAAGAGCGAAAGGTATAATTCCCAAATCATTTGAAAATTCTTTGTTTTAGGTGGACTTTGAACGAGCAGAGAGGCTAGCTTCAAAACTAGGAGTATCATTATACGAAGTCTCTGCAAAAACGGGAATTAATTGCGAAGAAGCTTTTGTAACGCTGGCCGGTGCGATGAGGGAACGGGTGATATTGGCAGCAAATGCCGCTTCAGGTATTGACAATACCTTGAAAAAAACTGGCAAAATTAGATGAATCTGATGATGCCGAAACGTACAGCAGTGCATTTCATATCGATGGAGTTGTTGGTAATGATAAAAAGGTATAAATCAAGGCATTTAAAGTTTATTAGGATTTTTTTAGCAATCAAGCCTCCCGTCTTGTTGCCAATCGGCGCCAAAGCCCGAATTTGTTTGACGTCGAGCTTACATTGTTAGCTTATCATATTCGGTTACTTTTCTCCTGACATTTGCTCAGCACACATACCCTCCTCCCTTTCTTTCTTTCTTTGCCTTATCGAAGTATGGAACTCAAGTTATTAACACGGGTATTCTCATTGTGAGGACGGCTTTTATTGGCGATACGCCCAGAGTAAATATTATACAAATAATGTCGATTTTGATACGCGCAAGTGTGGTGTGGAATTTGATGGCAAAGGAAGGACAGATGTACATAGTGAAGATATGTCAGATCACAAGTAGATAGACACAACAGAAAGAAAAAACTGAACGAAAAGCTCATACGGTATTATCAGAATTTGACTAGATAATGCTAGAATTCTTATAACTATTATTAAACTTTTTGTATTTCAAAGAGTTTGACGTCAGTGTCGTACCAGATTGGTGGGTCGTTATTGCTGAAATTTATTATAAAGAAAAAAATGTGGTGCTTACCGTAGGTAGACGACACCCCACATGTAGGTCCGGAACCAGTGGTTAGTTCCAGCATTTGCCTGGTACTTTCGGATGAGAATTGGATGGGGTACCGGAAGTAGACCGACTAGGGTACCGTGTTGCAAGAATTTTAGAATCTCAGATTCATCAGTCAGGCCCCTAAAAATTTTGGCATGTTTAATCAAAGTAATAAACATATAAAAAATTAGCCAAAAACTGACTTGTCAATGCAAATCTTCTCGACCTGAGGCACCAATACTTGCAACAAACGCATAATGGTCTGCAGCGGAAGCTTCGCTTTCCAAGCCTCCGCCCATTCGGTTGATGGAGCCCATTCTTCAGAAGCCGCCTGAAAATTATCGTTTTCTGAAGCGAAATCACTCTCACCGAGGTTGAGGGTCCAACTCCTGTCATAGCAGCAACCCCTGGAACCTCAGCAAGTTGAGGCCCAGATGAAAAGCTTGGGGCTGAAGGGGCGGTTGGGCTCTTGAGTTGGTCGACGATTTCTGTTTGCTTCTTGCCCTTACGTCCTGAAAATTATTAATTACAGTATCGCCAGAAACCGAAACTACCTGCCAACGACTTTTGAATATTTGTCGCATCGGTTGGTAGGTTAGCCAATTGATAGAAGACTTGTCTTTTCCGGATGATAGTGTAAATCAAATTAGCATTTCCTGTAGGTGGCTGTATTATTGTTGATAAATGAATCACCATCGAACTGGTATTGGATAATGTTGTTGAAGATCTCCAAGAGGAAAAAGACGAGGTGGTGATTTGTGACCGACGAATAAAGGAACCTAAAAGCTCTGTTTTGAATCACGTATATTTTTACCATGGTGTACTAAACGCTTCCACTAAATGTACAAGCTTATTAGCCGCAACCATGCATAGGGATTTCAGATACGGAGAAACTAAATAAAAAGTAAATTTAGGAAAACTGGGCTCACCGTTGACTATAATTGTCAGCAAGCAATCAAAGAGAGATTGTAGTTTGTGGTTGCCGGTGGTTATTAATTTATGGAACACCTTAAAACAATCTATTTTCAATTTTAGCTTCCTTACCATCACTAGGAGATCCGCATGAGTGCCAGTGAAGGGCTGAATTTCAATCGGTGCCTTCGTCACATATGGCTTATTTAATCGAACGCCGAAATTTCGTTCGCCGGATAGAAGCAAGATCAAAAATACACCCATGTGGATTAACCCAACGCGCGCTAAAAAAAAAATTGAATGTGAAGAATTTACGGCTTCGCCTTACATGGATCGTTTCGGGCTTCGCAAACGTGGTACAAAATCGGAACTAAGATCTCGAGCACATCGCTCGTTTTCAGTACATAGAACATGAATTTCTAAAAAATGCATATAGGTTAGATTTGAAGGTTGACTTACCGAATTATACTCGCAAGATTTCCATAGCAGCACCAAAAGTTCTTGATGGAAGTTTACTTTCTTTGTAGAATTTGGCAGATAGCCAGTTTGTAGAGGGTTAGAGAGAAGACGGATCATGCCCTAAAAAAAGTTCGGAATTGAGAGTCGAAAAACCTTTAGCATAAAGTCAAAATCCTCCTCACGATGGATTCGAGATAAATAATTGATGAAGTAATTATCAGCATAGCCAGTCTGAAATTATAATTTAATTCTGAATAAAAAATTTTACATCGTCATTAGTAGGTTGACTGTCCTTGTCGAGGCAGACAATAAGCACTTGCAGTGCAATGTCGACTAGCGGTTCGCGGGAATCGTTGAAGAAGAGGAAATTGTATGGCATTCCCATTCCAACTGGATCGTATGCGCAGACCTGAAATTAAAACAAGTTAGATATTTGGATAACCTCATTTACGCGGTTTCCAGGGATTTCATTTGCTTACCACATTCAAAAGTGAAGTGAAGAGAGGCAAAGCGTGACGGTTTTCACCAGAGGTAAAACGGCTAATCCATCGCATCCGGTTTTCATCTGAACTGCAGGATGAAAAAGATGTTTTCATTTTTGCGAGCTAGGTTCGTTCCAAATTTTGAATCGGCGACTTACCAGCCGGTGGAAGATATATCACTTCAGAGAAGCACGTCAAAAGAAGCTTCAACACCTCCCCTCGATTCTGATCGTGAGTCGCATTCTGCGGAGGCTTGGTCCCGAATCCAACACCGGCTTCCCAGATATATTCACAAGATTCGAGACGGTGCAGGTCATCGACTTTATCGGGTTGCCCGGGTAGATGGGAGACCGTGAAGTCGGGGCAGAACATCAAGTCCGTCAACACTCCGAGAAGGAGGCTGGCTAGAGGGATCTAGAGAAAATTTGTATTTTTGTAGATCGTAGTTTATTTACCTCCGAATCGCCAGAAGGAATCGGAGACCAGAAGTAGTTTCGCCAATCAGCATCTTCAAGGAGGAATGGGAGTAATCGAGTGAGAAGTCGAACACAGTTGATAACCTAAAAATATACACTATAATCATAATTTTCTTATTAAAAATGAAGAGTAAATATTTAATCAATCAGTACCTTCTTCGAGTTGATCGTGGCAGGACTATCCCTAGCGTTTTGCAACTTCTCAACGGCTTTGTAGCAAAGCGTCGCCAGATTTTTCGGGTTGTGCTCGCTATAAAACTATTATAAGTTATTTTATGCTTTTCTATACCGTAACTGTCGTATATCTTCTGCTGGAATCATTGCAAAGACATCAGACACCGATCCAACACTATCCGAAGACCAAAGTTGATCCCAGAAGGCTTCATCGTCCTGGGATACTTTCATTTTCGGCTTTATCATTATCAACTTACCAATTTCCCGGGTTTAGACGTGACGTCTAGCACGGCCTGCTTGAAATTCAGCTTAGTGCCCGCGTTACCCATCTGGAAATATAATATAATCGGTTATAATTTGAAGAAAAATGAAAAATAAAGCTTTTTAGAAAATTTGAAGATAAGATACTCAAAAATGAGACAACTAAATAGCTAACTAGAGGTAGGTATCCATTTTCGGCACGTGTCCGGGTTTCCAGTTGACTTGTAAGAAGAGAAGATGTTGGGAGGGGACGGGTTTCGGGCCCTGAGGGGATGTGCGCGTTGCGTGCGCGACGCGGGCTTATGGGTTTTCTATTACTGACCAAATGCACAGCGTAATGCGGCTAATTGAAGGGGGCAGCCCACTCGCAGATGGGCAGTGTGACAGGAATGATGAGATAGTTAATGACTTTTTGGATGTGAAAAGGAAAACCTTGGAGTTTAAATATAAAGCGGTGCTTGCTATATGGCAAAGATTTAATTTAAGCCTGGATAAACGGGTTATATATAAAAATTTATGCGCATTTTCCCAAAAGATTTTTGAAAAAATGGTTAATACGCATCAGAGAATAAAACTAATAAGAAAGAAAATGTTAGGGTTGTGGTAAAAAAATAATAGTGCGCCATATATCGGTCAAGAAATAGACACATTTTTATTAAAAACGGTTTTCCATTGCATCAGCTTTGACTAGCTACCCAACCAACAAAGAAAAAACTGATAAAAGAGAAGGTCTTACCCATAAATTAATTTATTTTGACACTATGACTTTTAAGCCGCGCAATCTAGATTTTTTCTATTACTAATCTGGATTTTCCAGCCTTATATCTTGGTTCTTGATAGCTGCCAAATTAGAAATCAGTGCTTTTCCTAGCATACCTAGTCATAATTTTTTTTTGGTTTTCAACGATGTGTCTGAAAAAATTATTCTCGAGCTGCCTCAAACTTTGTTAGATCATCTACCCAATCTCCGTCGAGCCATCTTCACACCGATACTATCGGATGTTGCCGTTGGATAACAAAACGAGACCAAATATGGCTCATCCGTATAGTCGTTCTTTTCGACTCTTTCTCCACTTCTCCCCCCCCTCAGGGGGTTCGGGATGAAGAAGGGTATCGGTCCGCCCACTGACCCAAATCTTTGTCTCGACACCCGGGAGGTAGACCGTCTCTCTTTAGGCCTAAAGGAGGGGTAACACCAACATTACCAATGGCCATACCGCGGTTGCTCATCTGCATCTCTACTATATTATTAACATTTACGTCAGGTGCGTTTTGCTATGATTATCAATGCTTGATGACGCTTGTTGCAAAATCTTCGCTCGTTTAAACCTAGAAATTTTTTAAGATTGATTTATAGAATGGCAAAGCTTTAATAATCGTTGAAAACAAGCCGACATAATGTCAGTGCCTAATTTTTTTGAAATATTATGATAAAGATTTTTTAAAGTTCCGAAACAAGATTATAGGTATTACGGTATCCATACGTGGGGTTACTAAAGATGGTCGCAGTCAATTCATGCGAAAAGAGATCATAATCGACGACAGTGGTAATCGAGTGATTTGCAGCACTCTTTTAGAATTCTTCTTCATTTTCCTTTCAGTTTCCTGAGTTTTTCTTTTTCACTAACGCAGTCTATATCCCCTTCGCCCTCGATAGAGCATTTAATTTACGACCAAATGCCAAAAGATGCAAATCTCTAAAAACGGAATTTTTTATCCAAATCCGCCATTCCATCTGTCCTTTTCCTTTCCAAGCTAGTTTTTTTTCGGGAGATCGGAGGAATGGGGGAAGTGGAATGCGACGAGCCGGTTTCGCCTGTTCACGATTTTTGCCGTCTTACCTGCTAATGTGCGGGCGAAATCTGGCTTTAATGAGAACCGGTTGCAGTGTTGCAATGCCCAAATACACTCTTGGTCTTTTTAGCGCAACAGCCGACTTGTCCCAACGGGCAGGCACCAAAACTAGAGGAAGATGGCACATTGATACAATGCCTACCGGGTGCTTCACAAAAAGTGGTGTGTGGGAAGGAGCATGTTTGTTTCTTTACGGGGATGAACTATGTGTGTTGCCCATCGAATGAGCCAACTGAGGAGACACAGGTAATCTTAAATATTGAGAGATATATATAAATTTTAAAGCTGACCTGCAATGCTCCGTATTTGACGGTTCTGGGGACTGCTGGAAGGCCATTGAAGTGTAGTCCAAGAACAAGGATGTGTCCTGGGGTATGTAATTTTTATATAATTTTTGTTGATAATTCGTTTTTAGAAAACCCAATTTTGTTCCGACGTCGGTTTGGATTATATTTGTTGTGAACGAACCGTTGGTCGCGAGCCACCAGCGGAGGTAATTATGCTTAAACAATTTTACAAATATCCCTTACAGGTCGAACCCGTCCCAAAATCTGAAGATGACCTTGAATGTCCAAAGAACACTATTGGTGTCCTAACCGAAAGAGGCCTCCCCGTGGTTTGCAACTCACGACGGAGATGCCCAGGGGTATTTCAATAGTAATACCATATTTTTATATTTTTTTATAGCGTCAACAGTTCTGCTACGGCGGCATGAAACGCTCGATTTGTTGTGAGCGATATGAAATGGCAAGAAATAACTTTGATGACGAACCCGTGAAGAAGCTATTGGCAATGGATGCCCCGCCTCAACCAAGGCTTAAACAGGTTTTTTAAACCAAAACAACGTAGATTCCTTTAGGTCAAACTCAACGGAAAGGAGGTCGTCCCTACTGAATTTTTGGAATCCACCGTAATTCGTTCCGACTCCTTTGTCTCAAATACTATGCGGAGACCGACCTCGTTTGCTATCGCTACGGCAGTAAAAGTACGGGGAATATTCTGATAAATCTTATTTCCGTTTTAGCATCACCGACGGCAAGGACCACGTGAAGTCGAGAGTTTGGCGTCAACGAGGAGAAAATCCAAATCGAAGGAGATTACTGAAGAAACCGCCTCCGTGGCACCGGTAAAAAAATCGACCGTATTAAGATTAAATTATATTTTTAGTATCATTTAAGCCATATGGAAAAGGTTAACTCCGTGGTGAAGAATCGGCACCGCAACTTTGAATCTGCAGAACCGGCGACTAGAAGAACTCTCAAGAAGAAGACGACAACACAGGGTTGGGTTTGAAAATTATTTAATAATTGAGACGGACAACTACTTTGAATTATTAAAATAAGCTGTCAAATTCAGCTCCCACAACAAAAGCCCCACAGCTAACAGATGAATGGCTACCAACAGTTGATGGTGGATTAGAAAATATCAACACGGATTCTGCTGAAGAGCCAGAGCTTTTGGGACAAAATATCGTTCGGACAACAGAAGCTTATGAGGTGACTACCACTGAGGTATCCTAAGCAGATTAAATAGGCACGTAAGCCAATTTTTCAGCGTGTCTTCGGCGAAATTGAACCTTTCCGACGGGCTCGAGTCCATTCCGCTAAAACATTGGTCGATCAGGATAAGCCGATTAGTTTATCAGCTACTATCGAGGTGATTTAGACAGTTAATTTTTATAATTTATTCTCATTTAGAATGACGGATTTGCCCCCTCAAAACCTCTTGAAATCAATGATAAACCGGTGATGAAAGAAGAAGACAAGAAGAAAATGGCTGAAAACTACTTGATGCATCAGATTAAGGAAGGATGGCCGTATGCCGACAAATTCTATCGACCTGGTGAGAAAATTAATTTTTATAATATACGAATTGGGAATGGTAATTATAGTAGTAAAGCTCAATCATTTTAGACGCCGAATGACAATGATTCCCTAAGCCTTTCAATGATACTCGGGTTGCGGCTCCAATATACCTCCACATATGTGCAATAATAAATTAATAAAAGTATATATTTCATTTTGGATTTACATCTCCTGAACGAAAACGACTGAATTGTTACGTAGCGACATTTGGGAGGATCGTGTAGGTGATGGTCTCCCGCTTGCCATGGCCATTGAGAATGACGGAAAGGGCATGTAGGAAGCCAGAGACCCTCGCTTGTGAATTTCCATAGGTGGTATGCCCAATTCCTTATCCAGCTGAGCGTTTCGCACTGTTTCAAAAATAGGATTAGGTAGATAAATAAACCCACATTTCTTCTCTAGTCCCGGTACGAATTTCAGCTTTTCCACTACAGTTGGGTAGCGCCGAAAATAGAGGAAGGCTTGGAAACAAGCACACACTTGAACCGGCAATATACTCGCCACCGAAGACCAAAAGGGGTATCCTGAAGGTTGTTTTTAAAAACAACCAGGGTTGAAAAACCGCTTCGCGGCTTTTCAACCCTGGCCCCGTCCAGGACCTGTGAAAGTCCTTAATTTGCATGTTTCTTCCTGAATTCTAGCCAGAAAAAAGTGAAAACGGGCTCCTCTGTCCCTTTATATAGGCTCTTCCTACTTCCGGCGCATGCTAATTTCCCCTAACAAACAGGGTTTTACAAAAACTTATTTTTAATAGCGAAAGCCGCAATTTTTCAAAATTTTTATGTGTGTGCAGTCGATTCCGGACCATTCTAAACCTATTGTCGTTTCTTCCTTATCCAAAAAACCCTTCCCCGAGGCTGTAGGAGCGGAACATCCTAACGGAAGTGCATGCAAATATACACACACACACAGACACTATTTTTTTATATATAGTAGGATAGGGAGAATTACCATATCGAAAGCTGAATTTGCTGGGTTCCCCGGAGGAATTCGCCTTCATCCTTGGGGACAATTCATCATCCACGATACATACAAACATTAAAACCGCCGTTGACAAGATTATGCCTAATTTTTTGCTAACTTAAGTTATAAAAGGAATTACAGCCGCAGATATAGCAGACGGCAGCTAGAATCGTATGCATGGTATGTCGCAGGTGGCCAATGGTTGCAAGGATTAACGCAATTGCGCAAATCATAGCTCCGACAAGGTGAAACATTGTCGAAAATCCTAATCTTGCTAAAAATATTGGCGTTATTGATTAAATAAATGCTAGTATACCAATATTACCATATTACAAGGAACTCACCACTTACAGCCACTGACGCCAAACTAAAATCATCGCCTAATTCAACCCGAGTGATCAATGGATTCAAATAGCATTGGGATTCTCGTTCGGCAGCTAAAATCATATCATCGGTTTGATAAAAAGCGTATCTAACTTGAAATCGTCTCCATTGAATAGTTAAACATGTCATTAGGAGGTCGATCCGGCAAAAACTGGCGGCAAATTTGTAGGTACCCAACGTTGTAGTGGAAAACGGCTTCCTGAGCACATTTAAACCTTAAGTTCCTAAAAACCCACAAACTGCTCCCCTTCAATACTTGTTTTATTGATCGGCCTTGGTTCTGTTAGGTAGACCCAGTTGTTGAGGATGATTGGCAGTGACTAAAATTTGCATAAAAAGCCTAATTATATTTTTTGATTTATTACCTGTAGAAAGACGACGAAGCCTCCAACAGTCGCGGCGATGCCAAACAGTATATTATCTGTACATCGTGCTTCTATGATAAACTAAAAAAATTTTGTTTATATCATATTTTTAGATAATCCACTTGAGCAATTTTCTCCCGTAATTCCATTGATTGGTCGTGTCGCGGGTAATAACGTCCGTAATAGGGGCGATCGGGTACTATAGAAGTTGCTCTAAAAACGTAACATTAATTTCACCGTTGAACCTGGGCTAACACACTACAGAATAAGGTCTAAAGGGTCAGTTTGAGGTATATGTGGTTGTGGAATAGTGGACCGACCTGAGCCGTGGGTATGCCCCCTGAGACAGACCGCGGGAGATGATTGGGGGCCGTCGGCGGCTTCTCCTTCTCCTCCCTTGGCTAGTGGTACTTCTCTGCGAATCCTCTCGGAACACCTCATCTTCCAGTTCATCCTCCTCGAAGACTACCCGTGGGCCCTTTCCTTCTTCAGCAATTGTCCCGAGGGCCATCTCTTCCAATTAGGTTGATGGTGGTGGTGGAGTGGTGGCTTCTAGTGGGTGGGCGTTGGGGAAAAAAGTGGTGAGGTTGGGTTTCTAAAATTAGGAAGGTATATAGGTAAATATATAAGAAAAAAACGCTGTATTCGGAGGGCTGTAGAATTCTTACCGCAGTTTCGTTACCGATGCAACGCGATAGAGGGGCATCTATCGCGTTGTAAAGACAACAAAACATGGCTTAAGCCACCTATAGCTATTCAGAATTCTCGCTATATAGGACGTTAAATAATACTAAGAAAAGCTGAATATAGCCCTCTAAGCCAAGATACTTTTCAAGCTTAAAAACATACATGCATACCAAACCCAAAACCCGAAACAAGAAGCCATGGCTGAAGCCGAGTGTCTCTAGATTAAATGCCCCTTCCTGCGAAAGTGGCCCTTCCCCCCACGCACACGAATTGCATTTCCTTTACCCAGGCAGACACACTCGATTAGGATGATAGAGGCCGCATCCGGGACGGATTTTTGCAAAACACCCGGGAATAGCCTTTTTTAGAGATCACCAAGCACTTGTTTTTGTAGTTCCCCCTAAAAATAAATGAGTCGACATTTTTTTATTCAGGCAAACAAGAGCCTTAACAAAACGGTATTAAAACCAGGACAGCAACATAAGATCGGCCAACAATTCAATTCATTGAAATTCATATCAATTTAACAACAATCGGACAAACTATGCGTCACTCGTCTACATATACGAAATTACGTTGAGTGTACTTTTGATGTTGAGTTGAAGGCCTCACTCCGCCACTTCATCCTTCGCTTTTCGTTTACGATCGGTGGCGGTAGACGCGCTAAAATGGAATAATTAAATAGATTGAAAAAGAAAATTAGCTTTGACCAAAATTGGATCTTTTTATTAATTTCGAGTAGGTTCTTTCCGTTTTTCTTAATTTTTCCATTGTAACCGGTCGGTCGTAACCTAATATAATTATTTTGATAGTTTTTAAATCAAATTTAGTTATGTGTAAATAAAAATACTATTCTAATTTTCCAGTTTTTCAAGTTCTTTTTGTTTTTTACCAACCTCTTTTCTTTTTGAGCTGGTGATGTTGAGCGACTTCCGGGTGGCGTGAAGGCATTTTGCTTGGCCAGGGCTGCATAGTGAGCAAAAACGCTGGCCGGCGACAGCAGCTGGTTGTATTGTAGTGGTATGAAAGTTGGCGTCATCATCGGGGACATCAAGCCAGCCAAATGATTTGGCTGTAGGATGTTCTGGAGCATGAACTGTTGGGCGGCCATGCTCAAGTTGGAAGCCATTGGGACCACGGGGGCCAATGGAGCCACTGGAACCTCGACTTGGCTCGCAGAGGAGGTTGATGGTGCCGGAGCGGAAGCCGGACGTTCGGGGAACGCATATTCAGCATTCATCTCGGTGTCTTTTTGTGCACTTCGGCGTCCAGCGGCAAAACCAGCTTTGTAATGCTTTTCCATTTCTGAAAGACGAACTTATTTCAGATACGGACACCTTGAAATAGCTGCTTAACCAACTAACAATCTAATATGTAAGGAAAAAGTTGCTAACTTAAATCTAAACCAGGGTTGAAAAGCTGCTTCGCGACTTTTCAACCCTGGCCCCGTCTGAGCCCATGTATCTTGCCCATTGCATAATTCGGCCGAATTTCGATGAGAAATAATGAAAAATGCACCCTTTCCACCGTTATATAGACTGTCGCCACTTCCGGCTTATGCTAATTAATTCCTAACAAAGAGGCTGCTCGGTTTTTTAACAAAAATTGATTTTTAATGTCGAAAATAGCATAATTTGCAAAATCTGATATGCGTGCAGTCATCTCGGCTTCATTACGCACCTAATGACGTGTCATACGTAGCCTAATATCCTTCCCCCCTTGAGATATCCTCCGGACACCCTGACGGAAGTTGCATGCAAATGCACACACACACAAACACTATTTTTTTATATACAGGGTGTCCCAAAAAAAACGAACCATCTGGCATTTCGCCGTCTTCCATCCAATCGGCCCCAAATTTGGCCCAGAGGTGTATCAGACCCTAAATAACAACAATCCTGAGTTATAGCCCCGTAGCTACAGTCGTTCTCGAGTTATAGCAAAAACAAACATTATTTTCCATTTTTCATAGGGTTTTCGTGGAATTAGACCCTCTAAACATTAAATGAAAATGATCCAGTAGGGCTTCTTTACCTTAAGAAATTTTTTCCAGACTAAAATTAATTAAATAAGCTTCGATTTAAGGGATTTTTACAACGCAAAATTACCCAAGATCTTAAGCGAAATTAGGGATTCGCAGCCGGAAGTCGATGCAAATCGATGCAAAGTCCAAAAGATAGCCAATAAAACTGTTCAGAATTCTGGGGAAAAACAGTATTTTCGTTATAACTTTAAAACTACTGTAGCTACGGGACTAAAAGTCAGGATTGTTGTTATTTAGGATCTGATACACCTCTGGTCCGAATATGGGACCGATTGGATGTAACACGGCAAAATGCCAGATGGTTCGTTTTTTTTGGGACACCCTGTATATAGTAGGATCTGAAAAATTTGCTCAATGCAATTTGCAAATAATTGATTGAGTAAGAAGTAAACCATTGCCAAAATTGGATAAAAATAGTCAAAAGGCTCGCCTTTTTTGTTTGTTGAGTCCCTTTAAATCAATACTCAGATTCAGTAAGGTTTTAAACTGCAGAATGCCATAATTCAAAAGCTCAAAACTCCGAATTATTCAAAAAATCAAAGAAATGAATTCAGATGCCAAAGCTGGCAAACTATGTCCAACTTACCCTGGTGCATCTTCTTGATATCGTCAAGGCCATTGAGGCTGTCCTTGTGCATTTGCAGCAAAAGTGCGATGACGTTGGCGCTGGCTTGGTAGATATCGGCAATTTCGTTTCTGCCGCTGAAAAGTGATTGTTTTAAAAGATATTACAAAATAATCATATGAGAAGCCGATGCGTTTAAACTTACTGATTGACATGGATTCCAGCTTCATGGGCTTCGATGAGTTTTTCCTTGAGGAGCTCAGTGCCCTGTTCGATACGTTGGCGGCGCTCACGTTCTTTTTGTTGTTTGTTGTGCTAGAAAAGAGGTTCTTATAATTAAATTATTTACATATGATGTTTGAATTTATATATTTAGTATAATGTTTTTTATCTTTTATACAAGCTTAGATTTTGGTTAGAAAGATACGACCTAAAGATTCCCTCGAGAAATGATAAAATCAATGGTTCGCAAAAACATCTACAGTTTAATATGATTTATATTTTTTCTAAAACTACTATTTTACCTGTATTTCTATTTGATCTTTATACTTTACCACCGATTAATCAAAATAATCATAAAATAATGACCTTAACCAAAAATATACCTGGGCATCACTGAGAGACTTCTTCGGATTGGGAGGAGACATCTTTACCGCTTGAAGATGCGGTCGTTGAAGTCGAGATGATTTGTAAGAATGACTTCCCAGTTCCCTTACTCATTTATATAGTTTTATGCTTATCATTTCGGTGTCCGATTCTATCCTACGGCATTTTGCCTGGTCTCCCCATTGCGTCTAGTGGTTATCATGGGCGCGCATTAATGCGGGTATAGCCCCGGGATATCCCACTACCACCTGTCCTTTGAAGGTCGGTGACAACTTCTACTAAAGGGAGTCGTTATCAACAATTATATACTGTGCCCTTAGGCAGAATTCGGTGCGCCCTGGAATTTGGGGCTGGGGCCTTTGAACAATATGCCTCAGGGCTGATGGATTGAAGTTGGCTTTAAAAATCTAGGGTCCCGGTGGGATCCGGAATAGGGCTGCCTTCAGTAATATTACATAATAAAGTATAAAATTAAATCGTGTAATTCATAGAGCTCTGGGCGAGCAGAGGGAGTTCGGGTTTAGTTTAATTCAGAATAAGAAATATATTTACTCAGATACGGTGAGCATTAATGACATGTGGTGTTTTCAAAGATTACGTGATTGATACAATTCCACGACTACTAAAAACTAGAATATTCGACGAATCTATTGAAAAACATAGAATCGCCGCAAAACCCAAACATGAATCAAATATTTATATTAAGAGTAAATCCATAAATTTATTTCTGAATATGTAAGAATTTCCGGATATGATAAAAACCTGAAATCCTTGCTTCTGTATTGTCTTTATCCGATTCGCCGAGTTTTCCACAAATTCCTCCACTGGACTCCCCAAACCCCAGCCCCCAATCCTGTTGTTATTGTCGTGGATGGTACTTTAGGATGCTAGGGAATGCATAATGTGTGCAAGTGGTTCATCTAGTCGATGGAAGAGACTTGGGTGGGCCCTAAATCGGAGTGGATGGCGGCGGATGATTAGAGGGTGACGGGGGCACACTTGGAGGGGTCCTCCACTTGGGCCAGATGACTCTGAGATGCCTTGGCATCCATCCGCCCTTGAAGCGACTCTGATCTGGATTTGGTAGATTCCCATCGACGATGCGACCAACCGGGTGATATGGCCGCCAGGTCGAGGGGGGTTGCGGGGCCACTTGGCCTTAGCGTCATATGGTTCGAAAATTCGGACGGTTTGATGCTGACATTTAGTGTGCTATTTAATGGTGCACTGTTTCTATAGTCATTTTTATCACCTGAGCCTAAGCCTAAGCCTAACCTTTTAAAATAGCTGGTCCCGAAAAACTTCAAGATTTTTTTATTATATTAACCTCCTATTTTTCGTATTTTATAGCCACCAATCCTGCTCTGAAATCACTTCATCCTGAAGATTTATGCAAGGTTTGATTCTTCCATGTTTTTTTTTCGTTTTAAAGAAACATCAGGCCTAAATTTTGATAAAAATTGATTCCGAATTACTGTAAAAATATACTTTTATACTATTAATTCTTTAATTTCAAATTTTATAAAAATATTTATACTTTTAATTTTTCAAGTAACACAGTAATCCTATTTCATCCTGCGGCAACTTTAAAAAATTTAATCTTGAAGATTCACATAATTTTTTTTTTGCTTCTTTTAAAACTATCCTATCCAAAAAAGTAGTTTTTCATCTGTAAACACTTCGGGAAATACAATGCGTCTGACATACCTTATTCAACCCAACGTCCAGAACTGTTTATTGCGTTTCCGACTCCCCATTTCGACTCATTTTCAAGCCACCATCCTGCCCCATTTGAAGCATCACGATGGTGTCGGCCCGGTTGCTTCTTCTTGTTGTTGCCGGTTGGTGTGGGCCCCTCTTCCCCGCGATTCGCAGTGTTCGCCCATTCTTTTGTCTCCATTTTTGGCCGTCGGCGGGCCCTCTCAAACGCCCCACGCACAAATACACGCACTCCGCTAGCTAGACGACGCGACGGGGGGCCCCCCTTTCAAATTTCCGCCAAGGACCCCTCCGCCAAACTTCATTACTTGGTCGACGGCCAAGTGTTTTTGGTTGCGAGTTTTTATTTATATTCTAGATGTATTTTTTAAAGTTTTGTTTCGGTCTAAATAACCACTATTTTTTCCAAATCATACTTGCTAAAAAGTGAAAATTGACAAAAATGCTGACAATTCGCCATTTTCTTAAATGGCAACAATTTTCCTAAACACCTGAAGTTTGTAACAAGATTCGTTTGAGCTTCATCCTGAGGTTTTTGCGACCGTAAGGAATTTAAGAAATCGCTACATTATCAGCCTGGTCTCTACCGTTTATTTTGCTATTTTTCTACCCGGCCCGATTTGGCTTTCTCTTGTTAGCAATATTTGCACATCCCCAAAACAACAACAACTTATTAGCATCCTCAACAACCATTTGGTACATGCATATAGGAGTAGCCGTCGACCTCGGATGTTGAAGCCAAAGCGCGGCGCCTCTGATTGCCGGGCCTTAGCCGTTTCCGCCAGCCGAGCGCACATGCGGGGGCCAAGGTGCGCCCCTCGGCTCTTCCCTAAAAGCCCCTAGTCTCCCTCCGCGGGCATCCTACTAACAACATACTCCACCTAATTAAAGGCCATTTCCACATCGCTTGGGCGAAGCAAGCATTGGCAATTTGTTATTTTATGCATAGTAGTCTTGGCGGGGGTGCAAAAAGTGATGGGTGTAAGCGGCAACATGTGTTAGTGAGCATATGAGTCATTCTTTATGAATATTAGATGGCAGCATGGAAACAAAAGGATGATCGTAAGCTGCAGAGTTTTCCATAACTTTACGATTTTTCGATAGTTTTGATGATGTTTATTTAACTTTAAAATGATTTCGTAAATCATGGGTTCCTCTAGCTATCTAGTCTTTGAGGGACAGTGTTGCTCTTAAAAAGAAAGCGATGGTGTCGCTGTACCTTTAAACGGCCTTTAAACGGTTTTTAGGGCGTCTAGATATCTAGGTCTTCTAATTGCCATTTGCAGAAAATTTACGATTTTATACTGGTTAAAAAGACAAAGTTCCGTTTATACTTATTCGTACTTCATCCCACCCCATAATCCGTTAGACTACACCCCGCACCCTTCAACACCCCTATGGTTCGACTTGCCCGGCCCGGAACACCCCGGTTTCGAACCCATCCGGAACCCTGTTAGCCCAATGATTAGACCCAAGATCTGGAAGACCTAATGATGCGAACGCCCCGGGCCCCACATCCGGGCCCCTTAGCCTCCCAAAAGCCACCACCCAAATCCCCAAACCCCCAAACTGCTCACTTCGTAATTATTTGCCCTAAGCGAATTTGGACCGCATTGTGGGTGACCACTGGGACGGGCACCCACCCCCAGAAAGTCGGAATTTCCACAACCCCCATGAATATCCTATTCCAAATCCCGGCGCATACCCACAAACTGGGCCCTCGTCCCCCAATTGGATACCGGGGGCCAGCTGTTCACGGGGCACTTGCCCACCCATTCTTACACGTTTTTCAGCGATTGGGCCATCCCCAACTTGGTGCATTGGTTGGGGCATTTGTCATTTTTTGCGTGGCGTGAGGATGGAGCCAGATGCGGAGAAATTCTCTATTTTTTTGATGGATCTGGGGTGGGTATATACCAGGTGGTCCCGAGTAGAAATACAGGGGTTTTTTATTTCATATTGTTCGAAGCAGGTGTTGAAAGTATCGAGGGGCATGCAAAATATAGGTTTTTCTCGCAAAAGGCTTTAGCCTGGGTATAACCTGCGTTTTTTTTGCACGTTTGCAGGATCAATTTCATTTCTTCAGCAAGGCAAGCAAGCAGCAAGCTAACATGATTTTTATCATAATCATTATTTTAATTTTTGCATCCTAAATATAATCTTACAGAATTTACTATTATATGGTGTGACATTATACAGGTCTGCTATTTTTGGATTCGCCCCAGTGAGGAAATACGAAACATGGTATCAAAAAAACCGCAAAGCCATCCGTGACCCCCCGAAAAACCATTTTTCAACACCTCCTCGCACTCTCCCCTTTGATTTCTCGACGATGCGCAACCCAAACGCCACACCAAATGAAAGGCGGCAGCTGGCGATAACTCTATTTCACCCCCCATCCACCAGAAACAACCTTGACGCCTTCAATCTCAGCGGCCAACCATTGCCCCAACCGGGCAGATCGCCTTCGGTTGGTTTGTTGGGGGAGAGGGTGAGGCGCGGGGGCGACCAATTTGTCTTCTTTGCCCTGTCCGCGCCCCCTCGACCAGCATTTCCCGCAGCTGGCCCCACCGGTACCCTTTCCCCTTCGTTTTCCGATTCGAATTCGGAGGTTCGGCTGGGCTCACCTGCTTTACCTTAAGTTTTTAAGGGTATCGGAAATAATTACAGGACTAGTGGGATTTTATAGACCTTCTTTAGAGGTTACGGCAGCTCTAAACCGTGGCTACACTGGGTGTCATTAATGCCTGATCAAGACTAATTTTTTTTGTAATAGGTGAAGGGTCTGGGTATGCCCTTAGGCTACGATACCATGGAATTATCGATATATCATTAAATTGGTGTTTTTCAATTGATCTATAAAAAACCAGCTTCTTCTGTCTCCTTCAAAATATTCAAATCTACCATAACTCTATGCAAAATATAATATTACCGCATTATGCTGCATACATGAGCTCTGCGAAACATCCATACTTGTAACTTTTTCTTTTCGAGGTACGATAGCTTTCAGGTACGGTTTATGCTAGTTACCATTAATTCCCAATGTAAAACCGCAAAAATGTAACTTCTTGTTACTTTAGGAAGAAAAATATGCATTGCCCGCATTGCTGACCCATACCTAATCGCTACAGAACACCCTACTTATATAAGCTTAAGCAAAAAAAACACTTATCTCTCGCTCGACTCGCCTTGTCACCCAATCCTCCCGATATTCATTTCCACCCCCAAAAAGCCGAAGCATGTTTGCGGTCAACAGTGGCATTTGGTGCTGGATGGACCCCCAGGGGGTGGCGGGCCTCTTTATGAGGGTTTCATCTCAGAT